GCCCTTCTTCCTGGCCCAGGCCTTTTTATCACCTCCCTGACCTCAGCAGCCGGTCCAATCGAAGCTGCCAATACTGGCTACAAACCGTCCAATCTGCAAAGCATCCCTGGCTACCTGGGCCCGCGCGCAGGGCCAGGTCTTTCCCCCCCTGCCCAGGTGACCAGAGCATCGCCTCCCAGGCGCCAGGCTTTTGTCTGCAGACAAGGAGCGAGATCCCCGCTGTGAGAGATTCAACACCAGCCTCTCGGGCTGGCTGAGACAGATCTCTGGAGAGGGGCACCGACGGGGGCATTTCTGCCACATGCACAAGCACACACAAACATGCACACAAACCCCTGCACATGCCCACGCACACAAGCACAAATGCACATATAAATATGCACACAAACCCATGCACACACGCACATGCACAAGCACACGTGTACACACAAACACAAGCACACACATGCACACACAGACATGCACATGCATACACAAACATGCACACACATAAACACACAAGTACACACACCCTGTGGACACAATTGGCATCTTGCTGGCAAGCTCCGGAACAGGCATGGCCCGTGTGGACCATAGTCGGGCACAACCTGCTGGGCAGTTGCCTCGGCCAATTCTTCGAGCACTCTCAGCTGCCATGGTGTGGACTGAGGTCCGTGTCATGCATTTGGTTTGCTGAAGAGGCCTTGAGTGAGAGCCTAGGGGTAGCCTGAAGAGCTCAGGGTCCATCCCGCAGAGGGTGGGGGGAAGCAAAGCCCCTTCCTCTGCTGTTTCAGGTGGAGCTGAGGCCCGGAGAAGCTCAATGACATCTAGAGGGTCCCGTCACAGCAGGCCCTGAGGCCAGATGGGCCCTGCTGGCAGCGCATGCCAACCTCTCACTAAGGCAGTGGTGCCTCGCAGATCCTGGCACCTCCCGGAAGCCTTCCTGTCCTCCAGGACAGAGTGCAATGAGGCGGGTGCCGAGGGCTGGGTGTGGCGACAGGAATTACCGGCCTTCCTCGTCTTCCAGGCAGGACATAATTACCGGGACCAGCCGGGTTGTTGCTACAAGGGCTGCAGGTGTCACGCCGCTCCTCCCCGCAGCCTCTCCCCTGGGGTGGGGCAGGTGTCCACATATACTGGGACAAGCCGAGGGCACGGCAGTATCTGGAGCCTCGGGAACTTCGATATCTCCGGGATCATGAGGGCCTGGATCCTTCTCATTGTAGTGGCCGTCACCTGCAGCTGGGTCTCCGGCGGTGAGTAGAAGCACTTGGCTCCAGGTAGAGAGCACAGCTGAAGCGGGAGGGAGGCAGTGATGGCTGGAGGGGACTTCATGGGAATATAAGTCCTTCCAGGGACTGGATTAGACCCTAGGTCCATTGTGCCCGGTCTCCTGGGTCACCCGGCAGCAGAGAGTGGAGGCTGGAAGGGAGAGTGAGTGGATCTGAGCAGGGTTTCCCCCCCTTTTCCTCTCTCTCTTGCAGCTTTCAGCATTTAAGGACTAGGTAGTTCTGCTTCAGAGGCTGCATCCCTCTCTCCCACGTGTGGGGCATGTCTCGGGGTCCAACGGTGCTGTGTGGGCTGTCACCTCCCTGCTGACCACCCTTGACATGGGGCGTCCGGCTCCGATTTGGCCTTTTTCCTCCCACCTGCAGAGCATAGACTCAGAAAATGAGGGTTGGAGGGACCTCAGGAGGTCACATCTAGTCCAACCCTCTGCTCAAAGCAGGACCAGCCCCAACTCCATCATCCCAGCCATGATCCCAGCGGCTCTGATCTACCCCCTTTGCTGCTTTGCGTCCAATGAGCACGTGGTGCAAACCCATTTCCCTCTGGCTCATTTGCAAAGGGAGCGAGGGCTAGTAGACAGCAGCATGCAGCTGCCGTGCCTCGCTCAGCGCTGCTGTTCACCCAGCCTGGCGGTGAATGAGCACCCCGTGACTGCCTGCTTGCTCATCAGATGACATCCTATGATGAAGCAACATTAAGTGGTTGCATCTGTTGCTCACGAAAGACATAACAACCTGGCTCAACACGGGCACGGCTCGGTCCTAAATAATCCTCCTTGTACTGTGTATAAGCGCCCCTCATTACTAGCTACATGCACTGCCTCTCCGACGGGGCTCTAACCACGTCTTGGAGCCCGTGCATATTTTACACTCACTTTTGCCCAGAACCGGCCAGAAACTGCTCTTACCATATGTCTCACAGATAATACGCACTGACATTTCAATGAGCTGGGTCTTGGACGGGGGCATGGGTGTTGTGGGTGGGCAGATATGGTGGTTGCAGTGGGATCGTCTTAAGGCCGCACACATCAGTTCATGAACTCCACATGCTGGCTATATCTGCTGTGGGTGTTAGCTCGCTGGTGCGGGCTGGGTGTTCGCTAGGTAGGGATGGTTTGCTCTGGGTGATATTGCTTCTATTCCCTGATTGAATGACCGAAGCTTTCTGTCTCTTCTGTCCCTGCAAAAGTGGTCCAGCCCCGGGTCCCTGTCTTAATGTCCTGTTTGTCCAAATTCCTAGGGCCTAAGGCCCTTGCAGCCCCTGTGAATGACCTATGTGCAGCCATGTCACCGTCTGTCTGCTCTGGGTGACAGCCTGTGGTCCCAGCAGCAAGGGACTGTGTGTTGATCCGGCAGATCTGGACTCTCAGCCCAAATCATATGCCATGTTTTGCTTTCCCTGCCAAATTGTGTGGGTTTGGCTCCCCACAATGGTGATACACAGAGAGGACCCACCTGGCCCTCCATGCAAAATGCCTCTAGCAAATGGATTGTCACCCCCTGATATGGTGGAACGGGGCAGGAGACCTTGGGAAGGGACATGCTAACGTTTTGCTGCTTCGTCCAGCCTGGCCAGTCTCCCAGTGCTGATGCTGGGGTCAAGAAGAGGGTCTTCACTGCTGCACAATTTCGGTTCTAGACGAGACCTGGATTTCCGAGCATGCCGGGAACTTGGCAAAAGCTGCAGTTTCAACCCCTCCCCAAAAGTGGGGTCAATGAGAAACGTGCATATCTTCTCCCAACCATGGGAAGGAGGCTCTGGGATGGGGCGTTAGCCAAGCTGGCATGGAGCCGGGGCTCAGTTACTCAGCATCGTGCCCTGGGCAGTTCCTTGTATATGCTGCCTGCAAAGGCTGTGGTGAGGAAAGGATTTGCGTAAGGCTATGCTCTGGGAGGGACCCCGTTCCCTTCCTGATACCATCACCTGTTGACTTTTCTGCACCACACGGGATCTGCCCCTTGGTGCCGTACAGAGTAGGGCACACATTATTCCTGTTTGCAAGGCACCGGAGCTACCAACATTTGGATGAAGAGGTTCGGGGGTCTGGGACCTTGTAAAACCTCCCGGGTCTCCCTGAATTAAGAGAGCAAACCACAGAGAAGCCATACATGAAGGGAGAGCAGCAGGTTCAGCCCATGCTGCCCAGCCAGGGGTCTAACCTCAGTGCAGCCCTGGTATCAACACAGGGCATTGGGTCAGAGCCAGGAACATTGCTCTGGGGTCCTATGGGTGCATTGTTCTCCTCTGCCAGTGCTGGCTAGGAGTTGAGCCCCAACCCTCAGCCTGGCCCCAGATCTTGATGGACTCTAATATGTCCTGGCCAGGGCTGTGCCCCACCAGGTCACCTCTCTGGGGAGCACCAAATGAGCCAGGATCCAGGTGGATTGAGCCTCCTGGGAGCCACTAGGACAACCAGTTCCAGCCCGGAGGCTGATTCCTAGCTGACAGGCACCCAGGAGGAGCCGCTTCTATGTGGCTTGACCACATGTGGCTGGCCAGACGTAGGAGCTGTTCTGTTTAAGTCTTTGGGTCTAATATTTGAGCATCTTTTGCTAGCCCTGCGGCAGCCGTGAGCAGCTGGGCACGCAGTCAGAGGCAGGTGGCAGTGGTCACACACTCACGGCTCTTTCTTTCCTTCTATGCAGCTGCAGAGGCCGAAGAGGATGCAGAGCATGAGAGCACTGGTGAGTCCTGCTCGGAGCTGTCGGGCGTGGGGCCACCATGGCTTTGCGTCTATGGCAGCTGTGCTGGTTCTGCCCCGTAACCTGCCCCGCTGCCCCAGCCTGGGGCTCCTGACCTCCTTCCGAGGGGCAGAGGGGTTGGCATGCCCGGGGCCAGCCTGGACGGCTTGGTGAACCCAGGGAATAGGCCCTCAAAGGCCCCTTTGAGGGGCCTGGGACCATCCCGACAGCTCCCCTGGCACAGAGACCAGCACTTCTGGGTGCAGCCTGGCAGGTACCAGAGAGACCCCCAGCCCCAGTGACAGCCTGGGATGTTCCCCTGCACTGCCCAGGCTGGATTGCAGCCACTTTGGGGGCTATGCCCTGGGCAGAGCTGGATCCAGACAGGTCCAGCCTGCTGCTCAAGGTATGTCTGACCCAATGGCCCACCCTGGGCATCTGCACTGCTGGCAGCAAACCATCCCCAGGTTGTGAGGTCCCTGCCCAGGCCCCCCCAGGGGGGCATGGTACTGTTGGGTGTAACAAAACACCCGTATCCAGACTGCTGCACACTGGGCGCATCTACATGCGTGCATTTACTGTGGAGTAACTGAAATTACTGCACAGTACAGATGTGCGTCTACATGTGCACGCCCATACTGCGCAGTAAATACACAACTTAGGCTGACTCGAGTGTAAATTTGCTGCCTGCATCATGCAGGTATCAAATTTACGCCCGCTTAGTTACTGCACCGTAACACATGTGTAGACTCATAGAGTGTCCCAAGTCAGTCCACACACAGCATTAATGTGTTTTAATGCCTGAAAGTGTAGACACTGGCCTATTCCCACTTGTTGTGCAGTAACTTACTGCACAGTAAATTTAAACCAGTGTAAATGCACGTGTAGACACACCCACTGGCTCACAGAGGACCTCCCTACCCCTGCCTTGGGTGTCAGGGGTGACCCATAAGGGGTGCATACGGGTGCAAGTGCACTCCCTGAGCATGGCGGTGCACCCTCCGCACCACCCACCACCGCCACCACCGGTGGCATCTGCGGGCAGTCAGCAATCCCCGCTGGCTGCTGTTGACACTGCCAGCGGCACCTGTGGGTGGTCACCGATCCCTGGTCAGCGCTTGCCACAGCCTGCCCCGCCCCACTGCCGACAGTGCTGGCAGTGTCTGCGGGGGCTCCCACTATCGCCAGTGCAGCTGTGCCCCCACCCAGCTGCCGGAGGCGTGCGCCATTCATGTTGGGTGCCCATGGAGCAGGGCAGAGGAGGTCCCAACAGATCAGGGGTTGAACCTGGCAGGAGATTTGGGGGTGCACAGGACTGCTGCTGTGGCCTTCTGAACTCCAGCTCTGCTTTGCCTGCCCCCCAGGCCTGTACACGGCTCCAGACTCTTGCAAGAGACGCTGCCACGAGCGGTTCAACAAGAGGGACCCCTGCCACTGCAACACCAAGTGTGAGAAGTACCAGAACTGCTGTGAGGATTATCACACCTACTGCAGCCAGGGTGAGTGAGCGCCCGGAGCCCAGACACCCCAGCCCTGCCCGCTGCCCCCCATCGCCCTGCATGGGACAGTTCCTGAGTCTGGTTTAGCCGTGGCCCGGCAGGGCACAGAGCATGGGCTGGCTGTGCGCTGAGCATGTTCTCCTGTGTGAATGTGTGCATAAAATTATAAAGAAAGGTGGGAAGGGGCCTCCAGAGCTCACATCTAGTCCAGCCCCTGCCTGAGGCAACGTCAGCCCTGTCCAAACCATCCCGGACACATCCATCATCTAACCTCTTCATACAACTAGGGCTGCCAGGCTCTGGAATGGACTCCCAAGGGAGGTGGTGCTCTCTCCTACCTTGGGGGTCTTCAAGAAGAGGCTGGATAGATATTTGGCTGGGATGATATGACCCCAGCACTTGTTCCTGCCCGGGGCAGGGGGTCGGACCTGATGATCTGTTTAGGTCCCTTCCAACCCTAAGCACCATGAGACTATGAAACTACCATCGACCCTGATGCAACACCAGACATCACACCCGAATCTGTCACGGGGAAGCAACTGTCAGTGTTCTGCTGCTGTAAAAGGTTATTAATATACAGATCCCTTAGAGAGGCCATGGCCCTTACTACAGGGAAAGGCAACCCCCCCCGTCCATACCAATTTGATGGGACAGAGGGAGGCGGATTCCTTCCTGACCCCAAATACAGCACGGTTCTGACCCTGAGTAGAGAGGCAAGACCCTCCAGCAGGACCCTCTGGCTTAAGGACACATGCATGCATGCGTGCTTATATGCACATGCGTGGGATGCTGCCTTCCAAGGAGCTGCCCGCTGCGAGAGCCCTGCACCGGGCCCTGTACTCAGTATATTGTCTCTGAGGGGGTGTCTGCTCTCCTTTCCCTCCTCATTAGGTGGAAAACAGGAGGACAACGAGGCTGTACATGCTCACAGCTCTGGTGAGTAGCTAACATCCGGAGCTAATTGAGGTGTGTGACAGGGCACGGTGCCCCTGCCCCTGCCTCCCAGTCTCTAACCCTTCCAATGGGTCCTGTCGGGGAAGGTCCATGAGCTACAGTGCACACCCCCACACACACCCCTTGGAGCTGCTTCCCTGCAAATTCCCCTCATTTAGCTCCTGTCTGGGCGCTTGTACATGTTACATGCTGCTTGCTGGGCCTTGATGTGTGTGAATGATGCCTCTCTCAGGCGGGCCCTGACTGCCCAAAAGCAGATCCCCTCCAGCCCTGATCTCATGGGCAGAGCCTCTGTGCCGTGAGCATGACAGAAAGCAGCTGGGATGGGCTCAGGTCCACCCCAGCCATCTCCTAGGGGATGGTAGGGCTGTCCCTGCTGGCGTGGGCCCCTAGGGCATGGAGTCCCTCTGTGCCTAGGCCAGGCAGACGGTGCTCTGGGGGCAGGGGACCTGGCAGGCCCCGGGGAAGGACAGGACCCTGGGGGGGTCTCCTCTGCAGCTGCTGTACCCCCTGGCATGAATCAGGCCCCCTGCCCCCACCTGCAGCCCTGGCCCCAGCTCTTGACCGCCAGTCTGCTTGCACCGCAGAGGGCTTCTCCCATGCCCGGGATGCCATCACCGACGAGGATCTCCTGCGCATCTCAGAGAAGCTGTACAAGGCTGACCACAACCGGGCCCAGGAGGCGGATGTCACCATCAACCCGCAGCACTTCGCCTCTGCCGGCCAGACCGATGACCAAGTGGACCGTTCTTCTGAGCCGTGAGTCCCCAGACCAGCCATGGGTCCCACGCAAAGGGCCATGCTAGAGTGTAGCTCCATGGAGACATCTTCTCTATGCCCTCAGTGAACGAGTTGGCATCTAGGGTGGGGTGGAGAAGGGTCTCCCTGGTGCAGGGCTGGGAGCTGAGGCCACTGGGGTAGATGCAAGCATTGCAAGCTTATGCCTTCCAAGGGACCCGGTGATTCAGGGGCCCAGAGCCCTGTCACCCCCCACCCTCTCCACAACTCCAGCGCTTCCCCTCCAGACTCTACACCTACGTCAACGAGCGCCTCTTCTCCAAGCCCACCTATGCCAGCTTCATCAAGCTGCTGGACAACTACCACCGCCAGACGGGCACGGGCGAGAAGATGACTGCACAGCAGCAAGCGGAGCAGGACACATTTCTCCAGGAGGCCATGAACACAGCCCTCATGAAGGAACTCTATGGCTTCCTTCACCAGAAAGGTGAGTGTGGCGTGGGCTGGGCACATCCCTGTGCCACTGGCTGGCCTGCCGTCCATGTACCTGGCATGGCAGCATGGCACGTGCCAATAGTGGCTAGTGCAGGTACCCTGCATCAGCCCTCTGTGGCCCCATCTGTTGCCCATGGACATGGGTAGAAGAGCCTAGGTCTGGATGGGCCAGGGGATGGGCCGGTCCTCCCACCTTCCTGAAGGATGGACTCTAAAGGCAGCATAGAGCCGGGAGTAGGGGGACGAGGTCTAACAAGGGGCTTCTCTGCAGTGTGGATCAGTGCAATACTGGGATGGCTTTCTTTGTGCCCAGTAGGCCAAGACCATGGTCTGGAGACCCTGGGACATGTGCCCCTGGGCGCCTTCCCCATCTCTGCTCTCACCCTGGGCTCTCTCGGCAGGTCGCTATGGCTCCGAGGAGGAGTTTGTTGCTGATCTGAAGGAGATGTGGTTTGGCTTGTACTCCAGGGGCAAGGGTGAAGGCGACTCCAGCGGCTTTGAGCACATCTTCTCAGGTACAGCCCTGAGCGTGGCAGCCCTGGGGCACAGATTTGAAGAGGGCAGTGCGACTCGCAGGAGCCTGAGAGCTGCTCCATGGGCCGGCCTGGGCATGCAGAGAGCACCGGGGCTGGGGCAGAGGTGGCCAAGAGCCAGGGGGTGCTTAGCCGTCTGGGGCTGTTTGGAGCACAGGGCTTCGACCCCACCATGCCCCATGCTCTCAGGCTGGCAGCTGATGCTGCGCCCTACCCACACCCCAGCAAGGCTCTATGTCCGGAGTTACTCAGGCTCCGTCTTGCTTGCACTCCAGGCGAAGTGAAGAAAGGGAAGGTCTCCGGCTTCCACAACTGGATTCGCTTCTACCTGCTGGAGAAGGAGGGCCAGGTCGACTACTACAGTCACAACTACGATGGGCCGGTACGTGCGGCTGCAGGCTGGGGTGAAGCCGCCACGTTGCTGGTCTCCGGGGCCCATGTGGGGCAAAGGGGCACAGCTGGAGCCCCTTGGCAGGTGGGAGGTGAGCCCCGGGGTGGGGGGCTATGAGCTGAGTGGGAGCCCCCTACGGCTCTGATCCCTCTGCCCTGTCCCCACAGTGGACCTCGTACCCTGACGTGCTGGGTCTGCAGTTCAACTGGGATGGGTTTTACAAGGAGGTGGGCTCTGCCTTCATCGGCTGCAGCCCCGAGTTCGAGTTCGGCCTCTACACGCTGTGCTTCATTGCCCGGCCAGGCAAGGTGTAAGTACCACCCCGCTGGCCCCTGGGCTCGTAACCACCGGTGCTTGCTCCTGTCCCGGGGCTGAAGGGCGCAGCAGCACCTCTGCTCTCCCAGGGGACGAGGCCTGAGCTGCCAGAGAGGGCCGCATCCTGAACCCAGGTTCCTCTCCGAGCACCCCCAGTGCTCTGGCGCCAGCCCTTTTCATTGCTCTCCTCTTCCAGGTGCCGCCTGAGTCTCGGGGGCCACAAGCTGGGCATCCAGACCTACACCTGGACCAAGTCCACCTATGGCAACGGCCGGAAGTACATCGCCACAGCCTACGTGACATCCTCGTGAGGCTCTCCCTTTCCCTCCCCCATGCATCCAGCTACCCCAGGAGGCTTCAGATGCTGCAGCAGACTCAGAGAGAGCGGCGCTGGGAGGTCCTTGCTCCTGCTGGCTGGGGGAGAGGGGGGAAAGGCTCTTCCCATCACCAGCGCTGTACTCAGGAGGGCAGGATCCTGATCCTGGGGGGGTGGGGGCAGCCTTCTGCTGCGCGGGGCACAGGTCACCCCGTCAATCCCTTGCCACGGAGAGGAGGACGGAGGCTGGCCCGAGTCCTCGCGTGGGCAGCAAGGTGCCACGGGTCTGTGCAGGGCATTAAAGTGCGAGGACACCCTCTGCAGGACTCGGCTTGTGTCTCCGTGACATGGTGATGGGCACGCGCTCTCCTCCATCCCGGGGCTCATGGGGATGGTCAGATCCCCACTTCTGCCTTCATGGCTGGTCCACAGAGCACTGCCTGGCACCGCTGTGTGGTCCCAGGGCCATCCGTACCCTGGGGCCTGCTCCCTCCTGGCAGGGGGGTCAGGGATGCTGGGGGCTGGCTTCATTTCTGGTTACTCTGGCAGGGCCCTGATGGGTCCTCCCCCACATGCAGCCAGCTCAGTGGGCACACGAGGGCACTCTCTGCCCACTGAAGCCAGAGGGCCTGCTCATGGGATTGCAGGCCCTCTGGCTTCAGCCCCTGGCCCAGGTGCCTCGTCTTGATGTCAGAGACAGGGGTGGTGGAGGGCACTAGGAGCGATGGTGGCTTCGCCTGGCTCCGGGCTCTGGGTGCTACAAGCCTCTGCCTGCCTAAGGGCCCCTCCAGGGCATGAGCCGATGGGGCTGCCCGTCCCCTGGGTCTGTGCCAGGGGAGGCAGGAGCGGCACTGGGCTCTGCCCTTCATCCCTGCCCAGCTGCGCGCCCTGGCGATGTGCTCTCCGGAGGGACCCACCAGCCTCCCCCATGAGCCCTCGACTCTGCAGGGGAGGTAGGGAGCTGCTGCCCTGCACCCAGGTCTCTAGGGCTGCTCGGGGGAGCAGCAGAGCCACAGCCCCGAGGCTCTGGGAGCTGCTTGGGGAAGGGAACAGAACCTGCCCCATGGCCTGGACCATGTCACAGCCCCCCTCCAACCCTCTGCATCGCGGGCTGGGCAAGGCAGAGCTCCAGTGCTGAGCTGCAGGAGCCCTAGTGAAGGACACCCCCCATGGGGTGCCCATGGCTGCCCATCACCGCAGCATCCGGGTGCCTCTGTGGGCTGAGAGCTGCAGCCACAGCTGAGTGGGCACTGCCTGCATTCCCCCAGAGCCCCTTGCAAAGACGGGCAGTGTCCACGACCAGGCTTTGAGGCCGCACATGGGGGGATGCATACGCAGAGAGGGTATGGGAAAGAGGGAAACTGAGGCACGGAGGCTAAGTGCCAGCATCACTTTTGGTGATGGAGCCTGGACACCTCCAGCTGCTCCACTGGCTGCTTGCACTGGGTGCCCCTGTAACCCCCGACCCCAAACCCAGCAGGGGCAGAGGCCTGGCCCTGCCCGGATGCATCGATGCCCGTGCCAGGCAGCATCGGGATCCTGCACTGTGCCACTGGTGCTCCAACTGGACACCACTGCCCCCAGCCAGCCCCAGTGCAGAGCCCCTCTCGCTGGGGGTGGCCGAAGCTGGATGCACCCGAGCCGGAGCCCCCGCTTGGCCGCCACCGCAGCGCAGCAGCGCGGATCCCCGGTGGGGCCGCAGCTTGCCCGGGCGGCACCGTGACAGATGGCGGCGACAACAGTTCCCGGGCGGGGGGAACGGGGGCGGGGGCCGCACCATCTGCCGGGGTCAGGGGGGCCCCAGCCGCCAGCGGGGGAGGGGAGATGCCGGAGCTTGATTTATAGGAAGCAAGTCCCCGCACCCCGGGAACGCACCCAAAGCCTGTGGCGGGGCTGGGGAAGGGGAAGCCTCAACCCCCCCTGGCCTGCAGACCTTTGCCCTACCTCCCCTGCCCATGGAAGTCAGGGCTGTGATGGGGAAACTGAGGCACGCGGTGGAGCTGTGACCTGCCCCAGGCTCAGAGCAGCGCTCCCCTGCTCCCCGCTGCCCCCGGCCCCCAGGCCCCGTTCAGATGCAAGGGCCCATGTGCAGGAGCGTGGGATGCCCCCGGTGCTCTCTGCCTTGGCACCGCTGGCACAAGGCCGGACCGCAGCCCATGGGCGCTGGGCATGGCCCTCCCCTCCCCTGCCTCTGGTTCAGCTTTGCAAAGGGGGGAGACGGTGTCAATAAAACCCAGCCCAAAGAAAGGGCAGGGCGGGCGGGCAGGGGAGGGGCAGGTGTCAGCAAGCTGACTCCGGGCCATCTGTTGCCAGCCAAGGGACCGCCAGGGCCTCAGCTCCGCGTCTGACAGGGGGAGCGGGAGCTCTCGGGGGGGCTCCCGAAGCTGCGTCCCCCACCTGAGCGCAGCCAGTCGGGGAATCTGCCGGGGAGACGCGGACCCCTCTCTCGGAGCCGCTCGTGGGCGGGTTGCTCGCAGCTGAGGCTCTGGCGACGGTTGGGAGCGCAGAGCAGCCGGGCTGGCACGGCCCTTGGGAGCTCACATCCAGTCCAGCCCCGTGCTGCAGGCCCGTGCTGCCAGGGCACGGGGCTGCCCGGAGAAACCTCCAAGGATGGAGATGCCCCCTGCTCTGGCGCCGGACCCCCCTCAAAACCTCCATTCCCTGCTGCCATTTCAGAGAGCGGGACAATCCCTGCCCTTGACTTGCAAGCGATGGTCTTGTGACTCCAGCCCGGGATGCATTTGGGGTTTTATTTCTTTTCTGCAATGGGAGCAAACACGGATGAGTCCAGGCCTCGGCCTTCACAGCTGCCCCTCTGCTCCTGGCTCAGACGTGGGCTCCTCCCAGCCCTGCCTGGGTGAGCAGTGGTGCCTGCTCTGGACTCAGCGGATGCTCCAGCGGGACCGTCCGAGCCCCCGAGCCATTTAAAGCTGATCTCGTTAACCCATCCCAGCATCCTGATGGAGGGTCAGGAAGCATCTGGACTGGAGCAGCTTTAATTGAGGAGCCTGTCAGTCATGAATTGCAGCCTTGGCCATACAGCTGTGCTCGTGGGACCAGATCCCACGACACGGGGGACCGGACATGACCCGAATCCCCAGGGGGCTGGAGGGAGAAGCCTGGTGCAAAGCGCAGGGGGCACATGCCCGGCTCTGGACCCCATTTGCAGGCCTGGATGGTCCCACTGCCTTCCAGCGAGCCACAAAGCTGGGATTAGTTCTGTTCAAACGCTGATTAAACAGCCCCGGCCCCGACGCACCGAGATTAAACAGAGCTGTCATCACGCCCGTGCAGCGTGGCTCCATCGGTACCCGCTGCCTGGCCAGGGATCAGGCTGCAGCGCCCAGGCTAGTGTTGCAATGGCCCTGTGTGCTGACCCAGCCGTGCCCAGCAGGTAGGTGGCACCCCCGCAGTGCCCGCTCCACCAAACTGCCTGTCTGTCCTGGAGGGGCCTGCTGTGGGCATGAGTGTCACCCTAATTTTTCCAACTATTTTAGTTGGTCTAATGAAATGCATTGGATTTACCCCAAAACCCTTGTCTGCTTATGTCCTTAGACCAACATGGCTACAACCAATACATCTGCAACCCTGCCCCCACACCCCAAGCCAGGCAGGAGAGCCCACCCCTCCATGAAGCATGGCAGGCCAGGGCCAGCTGCTTCCCTGGGCTCTGGCACTGCCCTTTGGCAGGCAGGTGTTGGACGCTCAGCCTCCTGTATGCACCGGGACCCAGGCCTGGATGGGACCCCTGGTCGGCTGCATGAGCTCTGCCGAGGGGTAGGGGGCAAGGGAGGGGGTGCACGGCCTGCTCTGGGCTGAGCAGATGCTGCCCCTAATCCCCAGAGCCGCACCGCCCAGCTTTGCAAACAGATTGAGGGGCTGAGCTGGAGCCAGGCGGGGGCTTAGGGCCAGCCATCCAGGGGGGATTTGCACAGTCACCAGCTCTGCCAGCCCCTCCAGAGCACGAGGTGGCATTCAGGGTGCCCAGGACCCATTTGGCCTCTGCGCCCTGCCAGGACTTTGTGCTCAGCCTGCGATCACCCGCTCTTCAGGCCAGGGTCTGTCTGTCCATCCAGGCTCTGCTGCACCCGGTTTAGGGCCTGTCTGTCTGGGCAGCATCTGTCCTGCCCAGGCCACCAGCCCCTGCCTGGCTGGTCACAGGACCACAGGGGTGGATGAGGCCTTCTCAGGGCTGGTTTTCAGCTCCAAAGAGCCAGCCACACCCTGCATCGTGCTGCTCTATCACTTTCTCAGTGGCTTTCCAGTCTGTGCCAGTGCCCCCAGCCATGCACAGTGCCAGTGCAAGGAGTCTCTCCTTCCGCAGCCTCTGGCTGGAAGTCTGTCCAGAAAAGCCTCCGCAAGGCATGGGCTCTGTCTGCCGTGGCTTCTGCCGGCTGCCTGGGCTCTCCAGCCTCTCCATGGATCACTTTAATAAGCTCTGCCGCTGAGACCCACAGATTACAAGGCGCCTGGATGTTGAGAGTCCCGGAGCAGGTATTAGCGCCACTCTTGGGTAGCACCTGCGGATCCAGCCAGCGGCCGCTGTTTCAGGATGCCTGTTTGGATGCATGTCTTAAGCAATCAGGGGGTGTCTTTTTGGGGTCAGCTGTCCCTTGTGTTTCCTGCCACCCGCAATGGGACTCCGTTCCCTGGCCCCTCTAGGAACCCATGGGCTGGGCGGGCCATACGTCTAACCCCAATGCAGGACATGCATCGGGACAGTGGGCTGCATTGATGCCAGGGGCAAGTCATTTTAATGCCTGGGCGCATATGTTCCATCACCCCTCGTGGCTCTCTCGCCAGCAGCCTCCATAGCTGCCGCCTGCTCCAGGGGCAGCAGGGAAGCCCGTTGCCCAAAGCTGCTGTTCCCGAAGGGGGCGGGGGATGGGGGGGCAGAGACAGCTAAGCCCCGAATCACGGGTCTGATAGTGCGGCTTAGTGGGTAAATCCGCGTGGCTTCCCGGGCTGGGCACATTACCGGCGTGATCAGATTACAACAAGACCAGAATTACAGCGTTTAATCTGGGCTTTGAGGGGGTTTAGCAATTATACGGCTGGGGCAATGAACCAGGAGCTGCGGGCAGGGCCAGCCAGGCCCCATGGAGACCTAGAGGGAACCCAGGAGTCCTGAGCCTCAGTCCCTGCTTAAACCAGTGCCCCCCTAAAGGGAACGTGTCCACTGGCACACCAAGGGGCACAGAGCCTTCGAGACCAGCCCATTACATAGGGGATCATGGGCCAGGCTCCGTCCTCCATTGTTAATTAGTCACTGATGTTAAATGAATGCAGTCGCTTGACTAAGAGCATTGCCTAGAGGGTACCCTCCCTCCACACACATCCTCAGACACACATGTGCATGCTCCGGCTGCTGCCCCCCCCAACACACATATGTGTGTGATCACTGGCTCCGGGTGTGCACACGTGTGCTCTTGTGCATGCAGGCACCCCATGGGAAGCTGCACAGCTGCGGGCGGGCTCCAGGCAGGAGCAACTGGGTGCCAGGATGGGCCGGGGCCAGTCCTGGAGGCTGGGAACTGGGCACCATGTCAAAAGCTGTTTCTCCTCAGCTGGCACGAGCCTGGGGTCCAGCTGCGCCACGCTCCGCCAGTTTCCTGGGGCCACGGCTGCCCTTGCAGCACTGGCTCGGGGCCAGGACTTTGAGAAGGGACCCCTCCTGATGCCCCATGCCTGCCCCTGCCCAGCAACACAGCCCCAGGCTGGAGTCGGGCAGCCGGAGCAGGGAGTATAGCAAGCAAGGCATCGCGCCAGGCATTGAGAGGGGCACAGTCACCCAACTCAGGGCAACACAATCCAGTGAAGGGGATCTGCTGAGTGGGAACCCCCCCAGCCAAGCCCCACAGCCCCCTCCCCTTCCTCCGTGCCTCAGTTTCCCCAGATGAGGATGCAGGGGGTATTCAGCGCCCACTGGCAGGACAGAGCCAGCATTGCTCGGAGCATCATCTGGGATGCGAAGGGGGCATCTAAAGCAGCTTTTACCCCCTGTTTGAGAGGCACCGGCTGCTCCCAGCCCCCCCCAGAGAAAGCAGGGCTGGCAGGGAGATGGCTCAACACCGCCCCGCACCCTTGGTGGGGTAGGGTGAGCCCTGTCCGTGCCAGCTGGGGGAAAGAGGCATGATTTCGGCTCTGCCTCTCATGAGCTTCCTCCCTGGCCCAGCTCGGCTCTGTGCCCCTGCTGCCCTCTCCCCTCTCTCAGCAGCCAGGCAGCAGCTGCCGGCTCCTCCGGAGTGCCCCAGCCCCCCGCCTGCCGCCCTCGGTGTGTGGGGAGCGGAGCAGCTTGCAGGGATTAGGCACCGTCCGCAGCTCCCCTTGGGCTCGGCGCTGGGGCAGCAGCAGGCGAGCAGCGAGGCGCTGAGCTGCGCAGGACACATGTGCCCATGAAGCTCTGTGTCCTGTTGCTGTGCTGGGATAGCCCGGTGAAGCCCCCGGAGCTGGGATCCCCAACCCTGGCACCCCTGGGACAGACCGGGGTGCAGAGGGTAGAGCAGCTGCTCGGGGTCTAAACAGGGTATGGCCCTGGGAGCCAGGACTCCTGGGTCCCTCTCCTAGATCTGTCACACCTGGATTTGTGCAGCTGCAGGGGGGTGTCCCGTACCAGTGCGAGACGAGGGGCACCCCGGCCAGTCCCTGGAGCACAGGCCTGAGAGCTGTGCTGGGTCCTGGTCTGGTGACCGCAGCCCAGCCCTTGCCCCTCTAGGTTTGGGAGCCTGGGAATCAGGACCCTTATCCCCAACTCCTGTGGGACCCTACCCTCCCTCCTGCCTCAGTTTCCCTAGCTGAGAAATGAGGATAATGAGACCAGGATCCCTGGGTCCTGGATGAGCGCTGAGTTTGAGTGTTGTTAAGACAGGCTGCATAGGGCCTGTCACATGCATCCAGCAGCTTTGGGGCTTCTCAGGCTGGCATGACATCCTCATCATGCATGTGCAGGGGCCTTGTGAATGGCCCGGGAGGTGTCACAGCCCTGGCATCCACTTCAGTCAAAGGATGTCACCCTGCCTTGCAGACCCTGTCTGGGACAGGGACCCAGGAGTCCGGTCTCACGGCCCAGCCATTGGCCCCGGAGCTGCACAGTGTGGATGGGGGCAGTATGGGCAGGTGACCCCCACCATCCCAGCCTTGGAGATGCCACCCTCAGTCCTGCCGATGGGAGCCACGTTTCTTCCTTCTACCCCAGCCCATCACGGCCAGAGCAGAGCCTGCGGGGTGCAGCCAGGAGCGGGATCCGGGGATCGGAAAGCGCCAGGAAAAGGAGGAGCTGAGGACAACCTGTGGCCCTCGTGACACCATCAGAACCAAGACCACAACTTTATTGGGGCCCGACAGGCGGCGTTGCTTCTTTACACAAGGACAGAAGACTTGCTCCCTGCACCAGTCCTGGATGCACAACCAGGGGCCTCTGGAGCACGATGAACTCCCCAACACTAGAAAATTCCCCTAAAAAAATAGTGAGGCTTCCCCACCCGGGCCTCCCTGGAGCCGGCTCCAGAAAGAGCTGCCTGCATCTTCCTGAAAGGGTTTGTCATGGTTATTGCTCGTATACAACTAGTTGGGGACGGGGCAGGTGAGATGGGCACGGGCAGCGAGCCAAGAGTGGCCCTGTCCACTGTGTAGCTCCTTGGCTTTGCCCGCAGGAAACAGCTAGGGGGAGAATAAATTAAATAAATAATGTCTAATAAATAATCCAGAACAACACACACATCGCCCACAAAGTGAAAACCTGACTCAACACCGATGGGGGGAACACATCCCACATTTCGGGGGAAACACAAAGGAAATAAAGGAGAGGCAGTGAAATAAATAAGGGAGATGGCATCCAAAGGCCCCCGTGCTCATGTCTGCAAATGCCGGGCCTGGTCAATAGGCTGTGAAACAGCCATCAGCAGGTGGTTGGAGGGTTTAATGTTCTCTGGAAAGTGCTGGGACTTTGTGCTTGCATGAGTTCAGGAGTCCTGAGGGGCAGTATTGGGGGTTTCTCTGCACGACTGAGCTGAGCGCTTCTGAACGGGGTGCCTCCAGGGCCGTGCAGAGGGGATCGTGTCCAGCTGAATCAAGGGCAGAGGCTGGCGGCAATTGGCAGGAGACTCCACAAAGCTTTGCCCCCACCGGCTGGGTGGGTTCCTGCCTGATTCAGGCGGCCACGGCTGTTGGCTTCCCTAGCCGCAGGAGGGAAAGCCGCCAGGGAGGATGGCAACTGATCTGGAGAAGCCAACGGCATGGATGGCCCTTCTTGCACTACCACCCCCTTCCCCCATCCAGGCATCCATGGCTGGACCTTGCAATGGGAGTAGCCTGCATATGGCTTGGACTGATGGAGGAATCATGCCTGGGGGCAGGAGGGGGGAGTGCTAGAGCCTGGACATGAGAGCCATTGGCAGAAGACCCCAAGCTGGGTGTCCTGCCAGAGCCAGGGGGTCTGGAGACATCTGCTTTGAATGCTCCATCAGGACCAGAAGTGACCACATACCATTGCCCACCCACCGAGAGAGGAGGAGGAAAGGACGGCTGATCTGTGGGGGCTGCTCTGGGCCAAGGAGCACGACGACAGACCGGTGGGGAAAAGCTGGAAGGTCCCTCAGAGCTGCAGAAGCACCATAGGGAACAGGCCAGCGCTTCGGACCTTCCCCGGTGGGTTCCTGATGAGGTTGCATCTACGCTGCATGGCTGGGTTCCTCGTGACGCTGAAGGCCTGGACCCTGTTACTCGCTAAACAGGGAGCTGAGCTGGGGCCCCGCCACGTGGGGGGGATACGCCTCATAGCTCATGTCCAGGGGGATCTCGTAGCGGGGCACCGCGCTCTGGAAGTGCGGCATGTGGCTGTGGGCTCCGGCCAGGCTCACGGAGGGGTAGTGGGCCATGAAGGCGTAGGGCTTGTCCAGGTCTGGGGACCCATCCTGCTTCAAGGAGAAGTTCCCAGTGATACTGAGGGGTGGCGTGAGGGGGCCCTCGTAGGGCGGGGTGGTGCAGTCTGGGGCGTGCCCCCCAAAGGATGGGTCCACCATGCCCTTGAAGGCCGGAGGTTTTAAGTGGAGCAGGTGGGTTTCCATGGTCCCGTAGGGTGGGCTGGGCAGCCCGGGGGACTGGTAGCTGAAGGCATGGCCGGGCACCGCCGACTCGCAGGCCGGGGGCTTCTCCTCGGGCTTCTCCAGGAACAGGGCCTGCCGCCCCAGCTGCAGGCAGCCGGCCACTAGGTTGCTGGTGGGCTGGGACAGGCCTTTGCAGAGCATCTCCACGAAGCCCTTCCCTTCCGGTGTCTGCCCGCTCTCCAGCACCTCGGACAGAGCCCAGATGTAATTCCTGGCCAGCCGCAGCGTCTCGATCTTGGACAGCTTCTGGGTCTTGGAGTAGCAGGGCATGACCCGCCGCAGGTTGTCCAGCGCGTCGTTGAGGCCGTGCATTCGGGTCCGCTCCCGGGCGTTGGCCTTGACCCGCCGGGCCCGGAACCGCTCCAGCCGCGCCTTGGTCATCTTCTTCTTCTTTGGGCCTCGCCGCTTGGGTTTGTCTCCGTTCTCCTCCTCCTCTTCCTCCTCCTCTTCCATGCTGCCGTTCTCCCCGGCCAAGCTGGCCATCAGCCCATAGGGGCCCTGCCTGCTGGCCTCATCCTTCATCTCCTCCTGGGAGCTCAGGGCTCCATCCACCCAGGCCTGGGAGCTGACGAGCTCGGCCATCTCCTTGGCCTTGGCGTACGTCTTAGTCATCTCGCAGCTCTGCAGGGAAAGGAGACAACCAGTGGGGGTTAACACTGTCACAGGGGCTCGCATTGCCCAGGAACCCACCACCAAGGATACTGAGGTTAAATATTAGGAAAAACTTTCTCATGGGGAGGGTTGTAAAGCACGGGAACAGGTTACCCAGACAGGTAGGTGGTGGCATCTCCATCCATGGAGCTTTTTAAGATGAAGCCCTGGCTGGGATGATGGAGTTGGGGCTGGTCCTGCTTGGAGCAGGGGGTTGGACTAGATGGGACCTCCTGAGCTCCCTTCCCACCCTCATTTTCTATGATTAGCAAGCATGAGGACGAACTCCCATCCTTGAAGGAAAGGCTGGACTCAGAGGCGAGGACTTCCACTCTACAGCTGGATTTGTAGACCAAACGCCAACCTCCTTCATGCTCTAAGGCTGGTCCAGAGCTGTCACTGCTCTGATCCTTCACATCTACACAGCCGCCGGCTTCCCGGTGAACTCTCTGGCCAGGCACGTGCTGTCCTGGCAGCCAGAGAACTCACATGCAAACCCCTCGAGGCACACTTGCTCCAACACACACGTGTATTGGTGCAGTGGCACACGTACTTGAAGAGACACATTGAATATACACACACGCTCCCCAAACTCCCAGTCCACTCCCTGAGCTCAGGCACGTGGCACTCCTGAGGCACCAAAGGATGAAGCCCATACCAGACCTACCTAGACTGGGATTCTCAGTGCACGTGGCCTTGGCTGGGATGATCTAGCTGGAGCTGGTCCTGCTTGGAGCAGGGGGTTGGACTAGATGTAGCCTCCTGAGGTCCCCTCCAACCCTCGTTTTCTATGTTTCTGTGATTCTGACAGTGCCGGCATCACAGCCCAGAGCTCACGGGGACAGGCAGGGTCTGTCTGCCCATCTGTTACAGGTCCAACTCTGTGTCCAGCACTGGTAGCAGGGCCCTCTCTGCAGAGCTGTCACCCCCCACCCCTCCCCCAGACTGGGTAGCAAGAGCACTGCAGAGAACAGTTTGGGGGTTCAAGCCTCCTTCCCCGGCCTGGATAAAGCTGTGCTGGGCAGGGGAAAACCTCTTGGTGAGGCTGGCCATCCTGCTCGCCAGCTCTCCTGCAGGCCTCAACCCTTGCTACACGTGTGTATCCAGTCCGTGCATATATGTGCCACATGCGTATTCCAGTGCATGTGTGTGTGTGTGTATACTATGTGTGTATTCCACTGTGGGCGTTTGTGGGTGTGCTGTGTGTGTGTATTCCAGTGTGTGTGGAGGTGTGTGTGTATGTGCAGTCCAGGGTATGTGTATATGTGTATGCTGTATGGGTATTTCAGTGTGTGTGTACACAAGCACACGCTGCATGTGTGTATTCCAGTGTGTGCATTTCTGTGTGTGATCTGTGTATTCCAGTGTGTGCACAGGCTCTGTGTGTGTGTGTATGTGTGCATCCCAGGGTGTGCATGTATGTGTATGTTGTATGAATATTTCAGTGTGTACACACACACACGTACACACACACACGCACAAACACTACAAGGGTGTGTATTCCAGTGTGTGCATTTCTGTGTGTGATCTGTGTATTCCAGTGCGCACGCAGGCTCTGTGTGTGTGTGTATGTGTGCATCCCAGGGTGTGCATGTATGTGTATGTTGTATGAATATTTCAGTGTGTACACACACACATGTACACACACACACAAACACGTGTGTATTCCAGTGTGTACACACATGCTGTGTGTGCTCTCATTCTAGTGCATGTGTATATGTGTATGCTGTATGTGTATGCCACTGTGTGTACACACACACACACACACGCTACATGTGTGTATTCCAGTGTGTGCATTTATGTGTGTGCTCTGCATGCGTATGCCAGTGTGTGCACACATGCTGTGTGTATGCGTGTGTTCCAGTGCATATTTTTGTGTGTGTGCTATGTGCATGCGGTCGTGTGTGTGTGTGCGCGCGTGCGCGTGTGTGATCCGGTGTCCATGTGCTTGGAGCCCTGCAGGCCAGGCTACTAGAACTGAGCATGGGCTAAACCAGGCCCTCAGAAGAGCCGGGCTCAGTCCGGGGGGCACGGGGGGTTGGGGTAACCATCCCCCTGCCGCTACAGAGAGGATGAGCTCCTGGAGGCCAGGGATGCCCCGAGCCTGTGCGGTGCCCCATCTCCCTGGGAGCCCACCGGATGCCAAGACCAGCCCTGCCAGCCTTTCAGCCACCCTCCCCTCTAGGGCCTGACCCAGGCGGGCCCCAAGCAGAGGCGGCCGGTGCCTTATTTTTCTGCTCTCCCCTGTAACCAGAGCTTGTTTGCTCACAACCTCCTTTACCTCCTCTGCATAATTAATGCTGGAAGCAGCCTGGGCTCGGTGGCAATCAGCCCGGAGCCCTGCCAGCCCTCCTTTAATGCAGCTTAGCTGGTAAGCGGCTTTCGGGGAAGTGGTTGTGGTTCAGGGGGAGCTGGGGGGTAGGGGGAGGCCCGGGCCACGCCTGCCCCGCGTGGAAAATCCCAGCACCCGAGGGCAGGAGCATGGAGGCGCTAACACGCTCTCCCAACACCCATGTAGATAAATGCTATGGGAGGTGCTATAGGGCCCGGTCCTCAGCCCACAGGCAGCATTGTGCCCTGGCAGGTGGGAGGGTGGGCCCCAAGCTGCTTCCTCTCCTGGGTCCCCAGGGAGCCCCTGCTGCAACCCCACGCTCCAGCATCTCTGCCAGCCTGTGCCCACGGGGCATCAGCTCGTGTCCCATGTGGGGCCAAGAACCACATGCTGGCCATGACAGTCTCCCACAATGAGACCCCAGTCCCCGAACCATGGGACAATCCTGCCTGGGCTCTGCTGGAGGCTGAGGTCTGCAGCTGCCCCACACTGTGGGGCCCAGCACCCCACAGAGTTCAGCTCAAAGTGGCAGAGATGCACAGAGTGACGGCGTGGGCACAAGGGGAGGCCAGGCCCCCTCACCCCCCC